CTATGCTAGTTTTCCAGGGCTGCCGTATTAAATACCCCAAACTAGGTGGCTTAAACACCAAAAATTTATTGTCTCACAATTCTGGAGATGAGAAGTCTGAAACTGAGGTGTTGGCAGGGTTGTTTTCCCCACGGGCTGTGAGAGAGAGTCTGTTCGTGCCTTTCCCCAGCTTCTGGTGGCTTGCTGGCGATCTGGTGTTCCTTGGCTCGTAGAGGCACCCTCCCATCTCCGCCTGCATCTTCACACAGTGTCCTCCCTGTGTGTGCATTTGTCTCTAAATTTGTTCCTTTCATAAAGGCACTAGGCATGTTGGGTTAACACCCACCCTAATGACCTCATTTTAACTTGATGACCTCTTTAAAGACCCTGTCTCCAAATAAGGTCACATCTTGAGATATTGGGTGTTATGACTTCAACGTATGAATTTTGGGAGGATGTAAGTCAACCGAAAACATGGTTGCAGGGTGGGGGCACTGGATGCAGTAAGGTCCCCATTGTACTGGATCTTGTGACTGTACCACTTGGCCACTTCGGCTTCCCATGTGCAGGGATTGGGGAAGGCTGGAGTGGCTGACCCTGAGTGCATGAGGACCTGGGTTGTCACAGTGTGACAGGGGTGGAGAGGAGGATGTCTGGAACCAAGGGGCTCACTGGGCCATTTCTTAGCACTTTCATGCCCACTGGTAGTAGTCAGTAGGTAGTTACAGCAACCGCCAACCAGTAAGGGCAAGGCAACCAAGGGCTCAGACCATTCGGGGATGGGAGATCTGGGTCACTGCACCGGGCAGGCAACCCAGACCAGAGGAAGTGCTAGCTGTGGGTCAGGGAAACCTAAACTGGTGGTGGAAGAAGGAGATGACAAATATCCATTATAGTTTTTGTCCAGTTGCAGCCTCCACCGTAGCTTGTTTCACAAACCTTCTTGCCTTACATTGTGTGGGAGATCACAACTGGCTGCCGCCTTGAAATGGACTCTGACCGATTGGACTTGGCCATCCTCTACTGGGTAAGGAGAAAGGAAGCACGTCTTTTTCTCACAAAAGACTGGAAGATCCACCTGCTAGAATGGGAGCGGGACATAATGGGAGGCATGTGAGGATCCACATGTATCGGGCAATCTCATACCCTTCAGAGTGTTCAGATAGCTTGGGTTTCCAGGCCTTCAGCTGCCCACACTGCCTTGGCAGCCACTGCAGCCAACTGACGGTACGCGGCCCATGCAATCCTCCCACCTGGGTGGGGCCAGCCAGTTGCTTATCCAGGGATGCTTGGTCTTCCCCTTTGCCACGCCTGCAGAGCCAAAGCAACCGGCTTATGGCCCAAATTGCTCGTTTCTCTCACAAATCCTGCACTGGGACAGAAAGCCACATTGTAGGGTGTGGGATCTGACTTCCCAAGCAGCTGCTGGAAGGGCTAGATGATGTGTTCCCCTCAATAGGGTGAGCTGTGACCAGTGAGAAACAGGAGGCTGGCATAGGAGGCACGCTGGGCAGATACATTCCCTGTCCTTCCTCCTTTCCATAGACTCTGCCGGGACAAGTTTCCCCATGTGCCCTGTTCAAAGGCATCCTGCTCAGGGCTGCCCAACCAGCCGCATCTCTTTGTGGCTTGCTGTGAAGCAGAGGCCAGCACAGGTAAGACCCCAGTTTCCATTGCTTCCTCTCCCCGTGCAGCCCCAGAAGAGCATGGGCATTCAGTTGCTGCCTGAGGGTCTGCTTGCTAGGGAACTGGAGCTATGACAGGGAGACAGAGGCACTCAGGGTTCAGCCAGGAGCGTCAAACAGATGTACTCCAGGCTGGAATGTCCGGAGGACAGAGCCCAGCCTGATTTGAGATGCTGGGAAGGCCATTGTTTCTCTTGATTTCTCTCCTACTTGCTGACATAAGCCTGAAAATCTAGAAGAAAGGAGGAGGACTCACTCCACCCTTAGACATAGGGATAAAAATGTCCCTCCCTTAAGGAAAAGGGAACTTGGTGCTCTGAATCAAACTAAAGTGTGAATGGCAGATATCGGCTCTGTCTTGAAAACAGAGAGCAAGGGGCCCCTGGGTGCTTAAAGAGAAGGCAAGGGAGTTCCACAGAGGGGATTACCTGGAAGGAGACCAGGCTTAGAGCCAATCCAACCTGGAGCCAGGTCAGGTCTTGCTGATGACAGCTGTGTGGCCTTGGAGAGGTCACTTAACTCTGTAAAATGAGAGGGTTGGATGAAGTGATCTCTAACGGTCCCATAAAACAGCATCAAGAATGGAAGACATACAAAATGGAGCCTTCCTTCATCCCATCCAGTGTTCTTCCCTGCGGGAGTTCTGAAGGCATGTGCCTTCCGTGACACTACTAGTCTGTTTGGGACAGACCTCGCTTACAATAAGGAAACAGCCAGTGGTACAAGGACAGTTGTGCCAAACCCCTGTCCCCTACCTTCCTTTGTCCTAGGTGCCATTGTTGGCCTTGTAGAGGACACCTTATTACAAGCAAGTGTGGCTGTGATATGAGAGTCTGCCACTGAGCCGAGGTCACAGGCAGAAAGTGCACGTGTGGGTTAAGATCACGAGGCTTGGAGTGCACAGAGACGGCCGTGCCCCTTCCTAGGTGACAGGGGCACATCACCAGCTCCCCAGTCCTGGGTTTTTGCTTGGATGTGGTTGGGATTCTAGTATCTCTCTTATAGAACTGGTATGAGGATTTGACGAAAGGATGTATACAGTAAGTGTCTGGTGAATGGCAGCCGTGCTATTTTTTTTCCTTTTTTTTTTGTATTTCAGCATATTATGGGGGTACAGATGTTCAGGTTACGTGTGTTGCCCTTGCCCCCCTCCCCCCCAAGTCAGAGTTTCAAGCGTGTCCATCCCCAAGATGCTGCGCATCGCACTCATTGTGTATGCATATACCCATCCCCTCCCCGCCTCCCCCCCTGCCTGACACCCAATAAATGTTATTCTTGTATGTGCACTTAGGTGTTGATCAGTGAAACCAATTTGATGGTGAGTACATGTGGTGCTTATTTTTCCATTCTTGGGATACTTAGTAGAATGGGTTCCAGCTCTATGCAGGAGACTACGAGAGGTGCTACATCACCATCGTTTCTTACACAGCTGTGCTATTGTTTGCTGTCATTCTTACTACTGCAGTCGTGACTGCCCTGCAATGGCAGCATCTGGAATCCTTGTGGCAAAGTGCAGAGTGGGTCACCCACCTGAGGACAGTCCTAACTGAAATGAAATTTGACTCTCAAACTCTTTAAATAAGAATTCTTGGGTTTAACTTTTGCTCCATTTATGTGGGAAAAGAGGGAGGTGCTAATTGTCCCCTTCAGACTTAATAAGAAAACTCCCAGATATTGATAGTTTTCAGAAAATGGAACTCCAAAAATATTACTGGGGCCACATGTTGTTCAGGGAGGAGATCAATCAAAGCCGCAGAATTTGTGGAGGTTCCAGCTTTGCTTCCCAGGACACAGTGTGGGTGTTTTACAGGGCTCCGTGGTTTCAAGGCATAGGATTGTCTCTGCTTTTCTGTGCTCGTGGGAAAAGGGAGAACCATTTTCTTTTCCTCATTGAGTATTTTCCCCTCCATTGGTAGTTGGAAGGGCTTACGTTTCAAGGCTAAATGCTGGGATTTTGTTAGTTCGCACTGAGAGAAAAAGCGGGCCTGAGAAGCTCAAACTTACAATGTGGAGAGGAAAAGGGGAAAAAGGGGGTAGCAGACGCAACAGAGGGCAGTGGCGCTCTGGCATCTTCTGGAAGCCGGGAAGGTGCCCAGGGGTCCAGTTCCTCAGCTCCCCGGGGCTCCTCTGCCCACGTGCACTCCCCTTGGACAGTGCACTCAGCCTGACCCAATCCTTCAGGGGCCGCCTACTCACCCCAGGGAGCCCAGAGGGCTTTGATGAGCCAAAACCCCAACCACAGCAGGACTTTCTGGACCATTGAGGAAAGTGGAAGCTGGACCAGGCTTGAAGAGGGGACACAGAGGCCACCAGAGAGACAAAGGCTACCAGGACTCAGGGTATCCGACGCACTAAGGTGTTCCAGAGACGATGGAGGACGGTGGCCAGGAGCCAGCCTCCCTGCCCCGCTGCCCAGGTCTGAACCCAGCCATTCCATGTACTACGTGTATGATCTCGGGTCCCTTCGGGCCTCTGCGCCCCAGCTTCTTCATCTGAGTAACAATCGTACCTACCGCCTAGGGCTGCTGTCAAGGTTTAGGAAGTTAACTCTTGTCATGTCTGTAGCACCACGCCAGAGACAGTCAGGGCTGCTATCACCTTCGTCTCTCAACCCTCACTGTACCCCAGGACTCGGCCTCTAAATGAGCCATCCTAGAGTCTCTAGGTGGCTCTAGTTCTGAACACCATGCCACCATGCTCTACATCCACCCGGTGTTAATTTCCTTCCCAAATGGAGTCCTCAGCCTCCTGCCGAGACCCCTTTCCTGCACAGCTCTCTGCTCCCCCGGGCTGTGGTGGTGGGACTCTGCTCCCGCCCTCTCTTGTCCATGCCTGCCAGAGCCCCTCACTTCCCGAGGGCCTCACTGGAGAAACATGTGGATTCCACCAAGGAAAGCCACCACTTCGGACCTGGCGACAAGATCCAAGGGCTGGACCATGAATCTATGGGACCTGAAACCCCTCTTTTCCTAACTCTGTAGCAATTGGTTAGGGTCTTTATTAGGGTGACCAGGCTTGGGTGGTGTTGCCATTTCTCTCTTGCAGAGAAAGGTAGTATGACACTCTCCACTGTTGAGACCCACTAGGAAGATTCCAGGCCAATGTTCCCAGCATCCTGGTAGCCCAGGGTTCTACCCCCAAGGAAGCAGAGTCACGGGGAAGACTCTGGGGGTAGCATAAAGGAGGTGGGGAAATTTGGCACAGGGCAAGGCCAGTGCCAGGCTCCCTCATATCGCTGCAGCCCCGGCCTGCCTTCTTCCCGGGGAGCCCCCCGTCCAGTCCTGGGCTAACAGGTTCAGCTAAAGAATAGGCAACAAGGCTTATTTGAGCAAACCATTTTATTGTCAGTAAGAAACAGCAACACTTCAGAGATTAACAGCAAGAAGAGAGACTGGTTGGTTGTATTTAAAAATGCAAAGTACAAAACTGTTAACCTAAAATAAAATAAAAAAGAATATTTAAAAGGCTTTTCTGTTAAGTTCTGGGACTTAGTAAATGGAATGAAAGCACAGCTCCTTATACCTAGGAGACCGGGTTGCAACGAGCCGTGCCTGGGCTGCCGGGGAGGGCAGACTGAGGGAAGGTGCTCTGGCCGGTCCTTCACGGTCCAAGAATCCACCAGCCAGGCCACTCCCCAGGTGACGCTGGGCTTGTCACCACTCGAGCTCTGGGACCCGATCGGTCCCTCTGTCTCCCCTAGGTGAGGATGACTGATGAGGACAGCCTCCCCTCCCTGAGGCTTCGATGTCTCCTCTTCTGGAAACTCCCCTCCCTGGCTCCCCCACGCTGCCCTGGTCAGCAGCATCTCACAGGTCCGTGGACAGCGAGTCCGGGATCTGCTTGCCTTCTTCGGCCGACTTGCTGGCCAGCTTTTTGGAGAAGAGAATAAACAAAAGCACAATACCAGATGGGATTGTCACGAGCGCCAAAGCGGGGCCTTCCAGTCTCAATCGCGAGGCCCTGACACTGACGCCTGCCCAAAGCCCAGTGAGCGTGAGCTGCCGTGACCTTGACTTTGGCCAGAGACGCAGACCTAGGCCGTGGACCACACAGGCTTTGCTGCCTCGCGGACCCCTCACTAGCTGGGGCAACTTGGGCACGTCGCTTACTGAGCTCTGCGCCTTACCAAGCCTCGTCCGGAGAGTGGGAGGTCAGAAGGAACGATGTTTGGGAAGTGCTCAGCGTGGTGCCTGACTCACAGCACACTTGAGATTTTTATAGAAGCGCAGTTCTGGGTTAAGATCATCTTGAGGATCAGAAGGGCCATGGTACCTTCTTGATCCTAAGCAGAGACTGATGAGTAACCATAAGAGATGAGACCTGAAGAGTCAGTGCTTGGAAACTAACCTTTAATTTGTAGGATTTTGGGATATAAGTTGAACAGGAAAGTGCTTCCAAAGAGAAAAAGCTCTTTCAGCTTCCAAAGCCAGCCGGCCGCCGTGGCTCGCGTGGGAGCACGAGGGGCGACTGAGGCGAGGGCTGGCTACCTACCGGTGCGAGGTCCCAGGGGCCCTGCACATCCCTCGCTAGGTCAGTCCTGGTCAGAGGAGCCCTGGGGCCCAGAGGAGAACTGCACTCTGGGCAGTACTGGACAGTCCCAGACCTCAGGCCCCCCCGACCACGCCTCCTCGGGAGTGACCACGTGTGCACACACACACAACACGCGAACCCCCATCTTCTTCCCTCTCCACACCACTCTCTTCCCTTCCCCCTGCCAACATCCTCCCTTCCTCCCACCTGTCTGGGTCCTCACCATCGTCTTGAAGAACTGATTGACTTTCTTCCGCTTGAGCGTCTTCTTGTCGCCGTCTGAGAGGTGGAAGAAGGTCTGGCTGAGGCGGGGGGATGTGTTGGCCTCGTCCAACCCAGGCATGCCGGCCACCGAGAGCGTGAGAGCTGGAAGGAGAGCGGAGACAGGGCCTGAGTGGGTGGGTGGAGGAGAGGCGGTGCCTCGGGGGAGGCAGACGGGAGATGGCTGGGGACACAGCCAGCATCCAAGGATCACACGTCCTGTGTGCCAAGAGGGAAGCAGGCGGCCTACTTCCTGCCTCGCCAGTGGGTGTGGAAGCTGTCCTTGTTGGGTGAAGCTTGCCAGCCCTGCAGACAGGGGTCTGGCCTCCTGGCCCCCAGTCAAAGCCTGGTCCAAGGGCCGACTTCCCAGAAACACAGAGCCTTCTGCCCAAGGCGGGGACACAGGGTGAGCTTGCTCTTCCTCCACACCCAGCACCACCACCCTGGATTTCTCATCTTCCCCAAAGGCCAGGGGCAGTGGGGAAAGAGTCTCCAACCCAGGTGTCACCTGGTGGAAGGGCCAGGGAGCCTGGTGGTTACAGCCCCAGCTTGGAATTTTACAGAGACCCGAAAAGTGAGCTACCTCTCTGACTGCTGGTTTTGACATTGATAAAATTGGAGCAGAGGCCCAGACCTCCAACGCATGTGACCCCTGCTGAGAGGACGCGAGGGAAATGGCTTGTACTCACTTCAACGCCATAGCTGTGTACCGGCTACCCCGCGTGGTCCACCGGGGCAGGGGGCAGGGACATGGTTCCAGGGCAGAGGGCCTGGGTCTGAACTCAGCCTCCACCACTTACTAGCCAGTGACAGGCAAGAGACTGATAGTCTAGGTGCCTCGGTTTCCTCATCTATACAATGGGGCGAATGACATTATCTACTTCAGAATTATGTGCAGTGGGGCAAATGAAATAATGAAGGAGTGCAGCCCGTGCACTCGGGGACAGCTGGTGGCCTCCCTGCGATCTGCCTGCCGAGTCCACGGGGGCAGCACCAGCCCTGTCCTGCTCCCTTGTGATGCCTCGACACAGAGAGCCTGGCACAGGAAGCAGATGCTGAGGACCTGCTGGGGGCCAGATGGGGGGCTCTCGGACACCATGCCCCCCGTTAGGGCCTCAGGATCCCCTCTGTGAGCTAGGAACAGTAGCTGTGTCCTGCTCACCTCCTCACGGGACAGTGTGTGATGAGGGGTGGGGGACAGGTAGCTCTATGCACCAAACACCCTGCAGCTATAAGATGTGGTGGCAATTTCCATAAATCCAGAAATAGTCTTTCAGGTCTAAAAAGGAGCCATAGGTCTTAGGGACATACCAAGCGCAGACTTCTGGCCCCTGGGAGGCCTGGGTAACTAAGAATGCAGGGCCACCTGGTGTGACAAACGAATGCCCAGAGAATCCCGAGGGCCAGCGGGACAGCAAGCCTCCACCCCAGCCCTGGGTGGAGATTGCCGGGATGGCTTTACCCACAGAAGGGTGGGTGTGGACAGAGATCAGAGGATGGGGGCTGTGAGCAGAGCCTCTCACCTTCAGGACGCCTGGTCTGCCGTACTGTGTAGACATGGTCCCCATCCATCCTCTACCCGCCGGGCTGGTGGCCTGCACTACCTCCATTCCCCATGCTGGTGGTGGCAGGGCACATACCTGGGATGGTGGGCATGGACTGGCTGGCAAAACTCATTTGAGAGAGGATGGATGCCTTTGGGGGGATGGCCGCATGCTCCGAGAGGTTGGTGTCACTCATGAACTCATGCTTCCTGGAAAGCTGGATGAATACACCACACACACACACACACACACACACACACACACACACACACCAGAGAGGCTTAGCATGAGGCAGATCTGGTTCTTGAAATGTCAGAGACAAGGGCTTGCCATCATTTCTATGAACCCAGCTCCAAGTTCATCTATTTTGTTTTATAACATTCCATGTCAGCTTGCCGTGTATGGTTGCACACGTTGCATACTATACAACTTCAGAGGTATGGGGGGGCATTCATTTAGGCTATCGTGTGAATGGTGCCCCCTAGCATTGTGAAACACAGAAGACATTTCCATCCTTTTCCCCCTGGGCAAGAGTAGCCTCTGGGGCTCACCAGGAGGTTTGTGGAGCGTCCTTTGTCCACCCCAGAAGGCATCTTGGCTGGTTCTTTGCCCTTTCATCTGGCACCCCTCCCTTGCCAGGACAGATAATCCCTGTCCTCCTCCCAGGGACCCAGAACATTTTCAACAAATTTCTTTTCAGGGGAAAATTAAGCTTGAGCCCAGGGCTGTCTGACATCAAATTCATTACTCAATAGTTATTAGTTTACAAGAACAAAACTCTCGAAGCCAAGGCGGTGAGATTCCATCTCCTCATTCCCGCCTGGGCTCCGGGGACAAAGGAGGAGGTGGTGGAGTCTGAGGTGTCAGTGGTTAGAAAGGCCCTGGGGCTGGGGACAGAGGGCTGAGGGCTGCAGGAACACCCGGCCCCTTACCAGGCTGGCTACTCTCCCCAGCCTCTTAAAGCCCTGTGGTGGCAGAAGGGACATGCGCAGGTTCTGAAGTGCGACGCTTGGGCTCAAATCCTGGCTGTGTCTGGCCCCGCCATCCCTGGTATGAGCACGCGCTCCCCTCCCTGCTCCCCAGGTGCTGCCTCTGGGATCCCCACGGCACCACGGAGCCAGGCTTGAGTGAGAAGGGCCTCGAAGCCCCGGCTATGGTGCCTGGCACGTAGCAGAGATTTGCCGACCGTGTCCGAGAGCAACTGGCCTCAGCCGCTCACCCGCTTCAGGTCCGACTCGGCTGCTGACTTCTCATCAGCGAACACCACGCTGCTCCTCTTCGTCCGCTTCTTAGACCTCCGCAGCTTGACCTCAGGCAGCGTGCTCCCAGGGGAGATGGGCTCCTCCAGCTCCACTCTCGCAGTCCTGGGTGGTGCCAATTCCAGGTCGAAGCTGAAGGGCAAGGGGGCAGCAGTGGGAACTGCGGTTAGAGCTTCAGTGGAACTGCCTTGCAGGGACCCAGGGGGCCAAAGGACCTTTGTGCTACCTGAACTGTCACTACACTGTCAGGGATAGGTCAGCTAGCCTGGCAGAGAATTGGGGAGCCATTTATTGATTTGCCAACATTCCAATGAAGTGAATAAAATTTATTTTATTTTATTCATGGTAAAATGAAATTGAAGGAGGTGAGACATAAAAAAGAAACCGGTGGGGAGGAGAGAAAATGGATTAAAAATACGGATTTGGGTTCAAATCCAGACACTGCCACTTCTTAGCTGAATGATTCTGGGTAAATTTCTAAACTTCTTCGAGTCATCATTTCCTTTTCTTTAAATGGGGGCCTTCGCAGCGACCTCGCAGAGCGGCCACGAGATGAAGTCCGAGGAACCCTCAGCACATTCTTGGCACCCGGCGCGTGCTGATCATTCGTGGTGTCTATTACTAGAGCAGCTGAGCTGGGCAGGATAGAGCCGGAGGGTTCCGGGAAGTGGAAGAGGACCCCAATAGGGTGTGGGTGGTGCCGGAGGAGCTCTGCGCTGGGGACATCTCGTCCTGGTTGGGAGGAGATTCCTCAGGAGGGAAGGAACTCCCCGTTAGAGGTGAGAACATTCCAGAGGGATGCGGGCCTGGTGAGGAGCTATGGCTGGCCGGCAGAGATCACTGAACCGGGAGTTGGGGGCGTGCAGGTGAGTCCCGCAGGGTCCCTGGGAAAAGCTGTCCTGCTCTCTGAGCCTCCGAAGACTCTCTAAGAACGGCACTAAGCCTCCTGCGGTAGTTGTGAGGTTTTGTGAGTCTCCAGGTGGGAAAGGCTTATTTGAAAGGGGCGAGGGGGAGGCAGAAGGGAGGCTGCTGGACAAGACAGGAGTGGAGTTTGAGGGTTGGGCCAGGGAGGCAGGGCGCGGGGGGCTGCCCGGGGCAGAGACAGACCTCTCGGAGGTGGTCTTGCTGGGGGTGCTGCAGTCAGAGTTCATGGAAGCCAGCGAGATGATGGACATCTGCCTGTAGGAGCGCAGCATGGACCGGGGGCGGCCCACCCTCCTGTCGTCGAAGTCGGGCTGTGGGTGAGAGAACAGAGTCGTGGGGCTGAGCAGGGTGTCGCACATGGCTGAGGCTAGTGGGTGGCGGTAGAGTAAAGAATGTGGCCTTCATTCCCGGCTCCTGGGAGGTAAATCCTGGGAATTTTTTCCCACATGACAGGAGTGTCTTTGTTAATCACGGTGACCCCCTGGACCGTCCCTGACTTTACGCTAACAGGAAGGCTCCGGATGGCCAGAAAGACCAGCCCTGCGGTTACGGGGGGCTTTAAGCCATGACAGATCAGCTCAACCTCTAGGGAGTGGACGGGGCTGGAGACTGACTTGAGTCACATCCAGCGATCCAATCGATCGTGACTACATAGTGAAACCCCAACAAAAACTCCGACACTCAGGCGCCCGTGAGCTTTCCTGGTTAGTATCATACATCAAGGTGCTAGAAGGGGGACACGGCCTGAGGACATGGAAGCTTCTCATTTGGGACCTTCCCAGGACTCACCCTGTGCATCTCTTTATCTGGCTGGTCTTGATTTACATCACAAACTGAAATCGTAGGTATAGTGCTTTCCTGAGATCTGTGTGCCGTTCTAGTGAATTATCAAACCTGGGCAGGTGGTGGGAACCCGCCAATTTGTCACCAGTTGGGCAGAAGTGTGGTGGCCTGGGGACCTTGGGGCTTGTGGCTGGTGTCTGAAGCAAGAGGAATTTAAGACTGCGCTCAGCCTGTGCAAAGTGACCTGACTCCAGGTAGTTTGCATCAGAATGACACTGCAGGGGCATCACACAGTGTTGACAGTGAGAACCTGTCTCATGGAAAAAAACCTTGAATCAAAAAAGACCTGAGTTTACCTCTAGGCTCCTCCAGTAACTCACTTCCCCTCTCTGGGTCTCAGTTTTCCCATCTGTAAAATGGGAAGGTCAAACTAGCTGGTTTTTATGGGACTGCACAGTCTTAACATTCTGTAATTCCATTTTATAAGGAAGAGCATAAAGAAGATGTCCCTGTGAGCACCAGGCCAGTGGCTTCTTTGGGCCAAGGAGCTTAGCGGCCAAAAGCACTGGCCTTGAGCCACTAGAACCAGGTGCAGACTCGGACCCACATTCATTGGCTATGCAGCTCCTGGACCCTCCGAAGAGATACAAGGGGTTTAAAATAATTCCTCCCTCCCAGGCCCGTGAGGATTAAATGACCTAGTAGATGTCCAGTGCTCTGATCAGGCCTGGCACACAGTAGGTGCTTCATCACTGTAGCTTTTATTATTACAGAGTCCTTTGAGTAATCGGTGTTTACACAGTCCCAGTTGCAATTGGAGTTTATTTGGGGGTGAATTTGACGGACTAGGCTTACAGGACGGTTCCCCTGGATGGCTCCAGCCACGCTGGCTCTTTGGAGGCAAGTCCCTCTGCCAGGTCCCTTCCCACTCCAGCCTCGCCGTCCTTCCCTGCCCCACCCTGCCCCGTCGCACCCCTTCTGGCCACAGGGACCGCACGTACCATCTCCCTGACACCGTACTCCTTCTCCACCTTCACTTTCAGGTTCTTGAAGCACTCCTCCATCCGGTCATGGAACGGACGCAGGTTATCCGACACCCTTTTCTCATGGATCTTAATCCCAGCTCCCAGGAAGGGGATCTGGAGAGAAAACAGTAAACGGTGAGCCAGAGGCGGCCGGCGGCCTCAGCCCGGGACCCGGCCTGTCATGGCGGCTGAAGTCCAGTCTCCTAAGAATCCGTCCAGGGCTTCCAGGTCCTCAGAGACCTGAACACAGGGTCCCCGGCCACGGGGAACAGGGGAAGCCGCAACCCTGGGGTTTGCTCTGGAAGGGGGAGAAGACTCCAGCTGCCCCTGCCTCACAGGAGGGCTGGACCCCTCCCCATCAGAGGCCACGAGCTTGAGAAAATAACCCCCTTATACAATCTACCGAGGGCCAGAACGTGGGACCAGGAGAGGAATCTCTTTTGATTTGACTTAAAGCCTCACCTAAGAAGTTCTTAACAACACAAAAGTGAAAGTATGAATGCCAGAAGGTGGGAGACAGAGGAAGGGAAGAGCTGAGAGGGAAAGGAGGAGTGAGCACAGCCTCATCTTGCAACAGGGAGGCCCAACATTATGCGGCTGCAGACAAAGACATGAGCGCATTGAGACCACGAAGCTGACCCACCAACGGGAGCGTTAACAGTGATGACCAAGCCTTGGGAAGGTGAGGGAGGAGGGGGGACTGGCGTGAGGGAGGTAACGTCGTATTCCCCAACGTGGGCGGGGGGTGGACGCAGGCTATCTACGTGGCAGACACAGCAAGGGGACCTACAGAGCCACGGCGGCCACCGCTCAAAGGAGAAGCTCAGGACACTAGTGTTGTGGCCTTGGGGAGACAGAAACAGGTGTGCAAAGGGGTAGACTACGAATTATTTTGGAAAAACCCTAACCCTAACCCTAACCCTAACCCTAACCCTACCCTTTTATGATGGTAACGTAAAGGTATTTCTGCCTCCTTCTCTTGGAGGTCTCCCTGAAATGACGAGGTGAAGGAGAAACTGAAATCTCCGTGAGGCGTGGAGTCGTCCATGAACCTGCCCCGCACCACGTGCTGGTGGAAGGAGGGTGGAGGGTGGTAACTGTCCTTCCAGAACACAGCAGGGAGCTGGTGATTAGAAAAGGCCCACCTGCCTCTAGGAGCCCAGGAGGGGCTCAGGGACTGGGGTTGCTGGGCCCCACAGGGAAGCTGGGTGGGCTGAGGGCCAGACACAGAGGGCCGGCTGAGCTCTGTCTTGGGGCAGGTGGAGTGCCAGGTGCCCACTGCTTCACCTGTAGCCAGGTGTCATATTTTCCCACCTTCCCAAGAAGTGGCTTATCCTGTAGAACAATTAGAACCAGGAGCTCTGGGCTCAGGGCCACCAGGCACAACAGGGGGCAGGATGAGGAGCCAGAGGAAACAAGGGGTTGAAGGGAAAGTCTGCACTGGATAGCGAGGCCTGCACTGCCCAATCCCCCAGCGGCCAGCAGCGCAGCAGTTGGGATTATCTTCCTTTGCAGAGCTGGAAGGGTCCGACTCTGGAGGAGGTGAGTGGTCCCACATAGATACAGACATTTGTGGATCATTCAGCTACCGTACAGCAACGCCACCCAGCTGACAAGGCTCCCTCTCATGGTTACACATTTTCATGTAGCCCCACTCTTAACTATGAAGAGACTGCCAAGGATCACCAGACATATTAGAGAAAATTCTCCAGTATAAAAGGAAGGAAGCAAGGAGGGAATGAGAGAGGGAAGGAAGGAGGGAGGGAAGCAAGGAAAGAAAAACCAAAGAATTTGGAAGAAACGTAAAGAGAGACTAAGAAAACATTATTTTTTAAAAAATTTTAATTAATATATAGAAACAGAAAAGATCCTCCATCCATGGAAAAAAGAGATGGATTTTATATAAAAATGAATAAAAATGGAAATACTACATATAAAAAGTAGTGAGATATAGTTAAGATCATAAATGGAGGTAAATTTATAGCTTTAGTATTAAATATTAGAAAAGAGAGAAAATTGATTAGCTAAATGGTCATCTCAAGATATTAGTAAAAGGACAGTAAATTAAATCCAAAGGGAGCAAAAGGATAGAAATAATAAAGTGTAGACATGAATGAAAAAGAAAATAAACTTACAACACAGAAGATCGACAAAGTCAAAAGTTGGTTCTTGAAAAGACATAACAATGATGAACCCCTGAAAAGACTAATCAAGAAGACAGAAGGTACCAGTAACCAATACCAGGGTTGAAAAGGGAGTCTCACTACGGAAGGTACAAACTATGGAAAATCATAAGAAGACCAGGCGCGGTGGCTCACACCTGTAGTCCTAGCTACTCAGGAGGCTGAAGCAGGAGGATTACTTGAGCCCAGGAGTTCAAGACCAGCCTGGGCAACATAGTGAGTCCCCATCTCTACAAAGATTTTTAAAAAAGTTAGTCAGATATGGTGGCGTGAGCCTGCAATCCCAGCTGCTCAAGAGGCTGAGGCAGGAGGATTGCTTGAGCCCAGGAGTCTGAGGTTGCAGTAAGCTATGATGATGCCATTGCACTCTAGCCTGGGTGACAGTGAGACCTTG